TAAGCATATTGAAATTAGACATCACTTTATTAGAGAACATGTATCTAGGGGTGATTGTGAAATTTTATTCATTGAAACTGAGAAACAATTAGCTGACTTGTTCACCAAACCACTCCCTAGAGATAGACTTAATATGCTTAGAACTGAATTAGGAATTTTGGATATATCTAGTATTGAATAATTGATTCTTTATTATGATACTGTGCTTTTTAACAAATTGATAACATGTTCAATAGATTAAATTGACTGAAAATTTTGAAATTATGTGTTTTAATCGATTGAAATTGCAAAATAATCTGTTGATTTTCTGATTCTCAATCTCTGTTCATGATGTATTACCAGTTTAATCGATTAAATAAGCTTTTAATCGATTTATTTCAATAACTCTGTAGCTCTGCAGGTTTTTTCTTTTACAAATCAATCGATTAAATCTTCGATTCAATCGATTTATTTTACTTGTGGTGATCTGCATCTATATTAGTAAATGAAAATCAATTGATTTTATGGAAAATCAATTGGTTATTTTTTTTCTAAGGTTAGTAGTGTATGCGTTGCCTCTAATCACTTACTGCAGATTGAGTTGAGTGCCCGTGCAATCTGGATCCAACTTCGACCTACTCTCTTTAATGTAATAGTTATCCAATAAAAGTTCGAATGAATGTGATTGGAAATCGGATGTGAAGGTAATTGAATATCACGAGTAACAACTCTCTCTCTCTCTGCCTTTACCATCTCTCGACGCATGGAGCGGAACGACGAGTAATTTACAAAAAGACAAAATTGACTATTCAAAGTAGATGAAGGGTCTCATTCCTTTTTAACATGCAATAGTGATTCAAAAATCTTGTACTCTCTCCTTGAAATTCTCTCTTCTCTGTTTTTCGGTTCATCTCTCAAAACAAAATGTTCAAGCGCACCAAATCCGGGAGGAAGAAGTTCGACGAAAGGAGAATCCTCAGCTGTCTGTGCAAGAAACATCGGGAGGAGGGCACATTGAATCCTGGTTCAATGGGAACCAAGAAAAGATGGACTTATTCATTCACGAAATGAGCAGGAAACAAATTAATATTCCCAAGGTTACGAAATTCTCGTGGTTGGATCGTCGAAGGATTCGAGAGGTGTTCGGAAGGCTGCTGCAACACCGAAGCTTCGAAGTTCCTTGAGCTCAATGGTAGAATCTATCCGAGATCTTATTAAAGTTTTCTTCACTAATCTGTCATTTGAAGGCTCTACACTCAAAACTCAAGTTAAAGGAGTGGAAATAGAGATTACTCCCACTGTCTGGAAAAATGTTGTTGGACTCAAGGATGAAGGAGTGAAAGTCACTAAAGGGTATACCTCTGATGTAGAAGAATTCAACAAAGTTCAATACTTTCGCTCATGTATGAGAAATAAGCGTGACTCTGTGAGTTCCTTCAACACTGGAAAGTTGAATCTAGAAGAAAGAATTCTTGCATTCATAGTGGCCTGGCGGCTTACTCCCAGGGGGAGCAATCATGCAGTACTAAATGAAGGTGATTTGGTGCTGATGTACTGTATCCATCACAGAATCAGAGTAAACTGGGTGTTTATCATCAAGGACCATATGATCAAAGCAAAAAGGCTAAGTGATTTTAGGTATCCTTATGCAATCCTAATTTCTAAATTTCTAACTCATTTTGGTATTGACTTGGAAGGAGAATTGGCCGAAATCATTCGCCCCACAAATGAGGTTAACAACTTCATCCTTCATAAAATGGGATTTATCAAAATTGATGGTGAGTGGATTTCAAAAGAAGAGGCTGGGAGAGAAGAAGAAGTCGAAGATGAAGAAGAAGAAGAAGAAGATGAGAATACTGGTGCTCCGAGTGCTGCTGAAGCAAGACAAACAACCCCTATGGAAGATGTCATGGAAGAGCAGTCTCCATTGGAAGTGATTCCTTATATTGCACAACCTGACCATGGCACGCCTCTTTCACAGTTCGTACGGACTATGTCTGCGTCGGATGAATGAAATACAAACAAATCAAAGGAGACACATGGAGATGACATTTGCTCGCAAGCTCGCCAGACATCGACGGTATGAAGACTCCATTGCCGCATTTCAACACATTGACAATCAACTGGAAGATATCTTCAACGGAATTGGTGACCTTCAATTCAATCGGGGTCCCCGGGATGGTGATGAATGAAGTTTAGTTCTTTAAGTTCACTTGTTTCTTTTGTTTTTTTTTTACCTACGTGGTACTTATGGATCGTAATTAAACACTTTTTGATGAAGTCAAATAGGGGAGAAGTACTTATAACCGACACTACACACACATCACAAAATCATATATGTCTTTGTTCTGTTATTGTTCATGCAGGTGCAGTGGTTATTTGTCTCCATCAAATAGGGGGAGATTGAAGCACTTGTTGGATTTGATGAAGACATATAGAGTTTATAGAGTTTAGTTTTTGGGTGTGTAGGTGAATATGTTATAGGTTTAGAATTTAATCTCTTGATTGTTCAATAGATCTTGTGATAAGCGCCTTTAAATGATGCATCTAATTGAACTTATTTTACTGCATGAAAAACCAACCTTTAAGCATTAAAAGAACAAACTGAGTTTTTCAATCTGTTAAAAAGAAGTTTCAATCTGTTAAAACCACTTAAAATAAGAAATGTTCATATGTTGTCAAAATTTTAATTGATTGAATCGCAGAATCAACATGTTAAAATGTTCTTAATGATTTTTCCATATTAAAGATTTCGCAATTTTAATCTGTTGAAATCAAAGTTCAATCTGTTGAAACAAAGAGATGTTATTTTTCACTTTGAAGTATCTCAGAAATTCAATCTGTTGAAATGAGTTTTAATCTGTTGAAACAGAGAGATCATTTTTTCATTCTAAGGTATCACAGGATTTCAATCTGTTGAAATATATTTTAATCTGTTGAAACAGAGAGCTACCATTTTTCTTCTAACTGTTTCAATCCATTGAAAACTCGAATTAACCGATTAAATGAGTTTTAAATGAAATTAATCGATTGAAATATCATTTTAAATCGATTGAATCTATCAATCTCTCTCTTTTACTCTATAAATACAGTTTTTATTTCTCTTTTGGAATACACAATTTGGAAAACATTTGAAAGCAATCTTAGAGCTCTCATATTCGTGTCTTTCTCTGTGCATTCATAAAACTTTTCATATCATAAGGCGTTTAGAGCAAGATTGTTAAAAAGTTCATCAAGAGAGAAAGTTCTGAGTTAGGGAAATTGCTTCTGGACTTCTATATTGTTAAAGCTGCAGTCCAGGTTTATTCTTTTCATACACTTATACAAAGGTTAATTGTGTAGATTGGGTTTGAATCTGCACTGGTTACAGTAACTGGGTTTGGTTACTGGGTGGTTAATTCAAGAGTCTATCTTGTGGTGTTGTAAGATAGTTCTTGGGGTAGATTGGTGTATATCTACTGGTTTGTATTTTCACTTGGAATTAGTGGAACTTGGCAGATTTGTCAAGAATTGGATGTAGCTCTGGGAAAGAGTGAACCAGTATAAACTCTTGTGTTGAATTTCTACTTTCATCTCTTTTCAATTCTTGCTTATATTCTTGTTTTGTTTAAAACCAAATCTGCCTAATAAAAGATTGGATAAAGATTAACCATTCTTCCAAAAGAAAGAGTGTTTTTCGAAAAAGATTTCAAAAGTTCAATTCACCCCCTCTTGAACTCAACCATTAATTCTTACAGCATTTACATTCTTCTCTAACCTTAATTACTATTCACTACAGAAGGGATGTCATTAATAGCCAAAAACAGTAATAAAAAACTGAGACATGTCAACAAGCAACTGTGGTAAAAGGACTTGATCCCCCCAACTATGATTTAGATAATATTTAAAAACAATTGGTTAAACATTTTTGTCCAGTTTTCCAGTCCAAATTAGAGTTCACATTAATAGATTATGTCAATCTTTAAGCGAACTTTTATTATATGGATTACTAATCCACTTATGGCAGGAAAACACCAACATGATCACGCAAGAAACCATATTTAGGTTTTGTCCCTTCAATTTTAGTTATTTTATCAATTTAGTTATTCAGAGCTTAGTGTTTCAGAAACTATAAATAAAAATAGTATTTTAAGACTGATTAAAATTTAAAAATAACACACACAAAGTATTAATTTAATAATGGATAAAAATTCTAAACTGCCCCTGTACATATATATACTTAAAAATTGCAACTCTAGATATATTTTTTAAATAATTTATATTAATATGTACCTATTTGTGTTCTTAAGTGAAGGATTGTCTTTTGGGTGCTGGATCTTGGCATATCTTAATTGGGCATCTTCCTTTCTTACATCTCAAAGTCCGGATTTAATTGACCACTTGAAAATTTACATTTTTCTAGATTTCTGACTATTGCATTTAGATGTTGGGTATACTGTTTGTTACTTAAGTCTAAAATTGGCTATGATGGGAGGTGAATCCAGCACGATGACTCATAGTAGTGATGTTCCAACGCCCATCAAAATGATCAGTATGGAGCTGATTTAAGTTCTTGTGAAGCTACATGTGTTGAGCATCCATACATGCAATCGTTATATGCTACCAACAAGAAGCAGACCAACAGGGTGATCACCTCACGTGCTCATGGGATTGAGGTTGACATTAATCACAACGGTAGGGGAAGTCACTTGTAGTGTGCTGAATCAGGATGTTGCCAAAGTGGCAAAGACATTATTATAGAGAGTAAACAAGATACGTGGAACAAGAAGAACAGACAATTCCGCAGAGCCGGTTGAGATTTTGAGTAAGCATGCAGTTGAATTTAGCCAGCAGATAAGGGGAGCGAGTACACAGTAAGAAAAAGATTATTAGTTACTCTAGCTGACAAACATTTGGCATTATGTTTTGCTAATAGCAGATTGGACTGACTAAACAACCATCCAGCTTAATTATATCCACATTGAGATTCTTAACGATGATGAAGAAACATAAAAAATATTAACTTGTTGGGTATAACATTTCTACTTCCCCAATGCCTTATCCCCATACTTGGGTTTCTGCATTATGCACAAAAACAAACAATAAGAGCAATAGAATTGAGATGGATTACGGACCAGGGAGGAGTTTGTCCAGCTGAGCATATCCTCTAGAATCTCCTCGCACTCCTTGGCGTCCCCAAGAAAACCGTGCTTGATTCCATCCTCAACAATGTCATCCCACTTTTTATCATCCATGTTGAAGTACTCATCCTGCACCATCCTCTTCATTACCACATCCCTCGCGTTGTACAAATCGTCGATTTCCTCGTCGGTTAGGTGACAGTCATCGAAATCGGACTCGAAGTCCCTGTCCTCGACGTCGTCAATGGGGCCCATGCGGAGTTCCTCCATAAGCTCGTCGTCAGTCTCTTCGTGTTTCCCCGACAGCTTCCGCTGCAGAATCGCCTCCATGATCGACGGCAGCACCTGCTCGTCGCCTTTAATGTAGCTCTCGATCCGCCTCTTCAGCTCTGTCAACGCAAATCCAATGAATGGTGATCCACTGTGTCAAACGGAGCCGTGGGAATGTTACAATTGATTGATGAGAAAAGAGAGACAGAGAGATACCTTTGTTGTCGACGTCGTCCGGGTTTTGAGGGACCGGTGGGGGAATTTCATTGGAAGAGAAAAGTTTGGGTCGCGCACGAGTAGCAGCGGCGAGCGCGGGGACGGAGGGAAGAAGGTTGCGAATGTACAGAGTTGCATTTCTCAGAACAGTCCTTCTCATGAATCTCTCTTTCTCTTTCTTTTCTCACTCTAGGGGTTTCTACTCCCTTGGCCCCCTCCATTTCTGTCTACTTCTCTCCTTGTTTTTTGCACCTCTACTAGTTTTATTACCCATGGGACTTATAATTTTATTTTAAAATTTACATAAATAGTAATTATTAATATGTATTAATTAATATAAATATTATATATTTATAATATATCTATTTTATATATAATATAGATGAAAAAGAAATAAAAAAATTAAAATAATTTAAACATTCATTTAAAAATAATTAAAACTTATTTTATAATAATAAAAGAAAATAAATTTAAAATGTTTAATGAAATATTATATAAAAAATATATTGTATATGAAATATTATATAAAAAATATATTGTATATATAATTTTTTTATATTAAAGTGTAAAATTAATAAAATAATAATAATTGATCTATTAATTATTAATATTTAAAATTTTACTAAAAAAGTTAAAAATTCAATTTTGATTAAATTCATTGAAAGATAATAAGAATGATTTTTTGATATAAAAATATTATAACAATAATTAAAAACATTAAAAATTACAATAAAGTAAAAGGTTTTAAAGTAATTTATTAAAAAAACATATAATATTTTTAAAAAACTACAATAATTTTTTTTATTTTAAACATTTATTATATATGAAATGTATTCAATTTTTGTTATGTATTTATATACTAATTATATTTTTTCTATATTTTACATTAAATTACATTACATTTCTAATAACTATTAAAGTCAAGAAATACAAAATTGTTAAAATTTATTCGAATAAAAATTATTTTTAAAATATATAATACTTTCATAATATGTTAAATATTAACATAATTTTAGATAAATTATTTTGTATTTTATATTTAGATAGATAATATTTAGATAAATAATGATTATAAAGTAAAAATAAATCCTTATGTTAAAAATTATATTATTAATACATATAAAATTTAATTAAATCATTTTAATATCAAGTATTATATTAGTATAGAGATTATGATATTTTAGTTGGAGATGAAACAAATATAAGTAAAGATTAACCGTTAAAGTCAAATCATGACTTTTTTTCATAAATAATATTATTTTTAAAAATATTTCCCAAAATAGCACATCCGGAACATTATTTACACAACTAACACTCTTTACTTGTTCACATATTAAAATAATCGATTATTTTATATTATGATTGATTATTTCGCGCAATTAACTCTCGCTCAAGCGAAGAAATCGCTTGAGCGAGAAAATCTGTAACAAAGGGGTAATCTCGGGTCAATTCTCGCTCAAGCGAAGAAACCCTTCGCTTGAGCGAGGAAATCTGTAACAAAGGGGTAATCTCCGGTCAATTCTCGGCAGTGGCGGATCTTCTTGGGAGCTGAGGGGGGTCGTGGCCCCCCCAAAGTTTTATAACTCCCATGTAATTTATGATTTTGGCTCCCAAACTTAATAAACATTTAATATATTTACTTGTATATTTACAATTCTATCCTCTCAACCCCTCTTCAATTTTGTAACTCCCATGTAATTTATGACTTTGTCTCCCTCAAACTTAATGATCATTTAATATATTTAAATATATATCTACAATTTTATCCTTTTACCCTTTCATCTTCTTTCTTCCTTTTATATTTATTTATTATTTATTAATAATATATTATTTTATATTTATTATTTATTAATAATATATTATTTTATATTTATTATTTATTAATAATATATTATTTAGTTGCCCCCAAGATCAATGGTCAAGATCCGCTATCGATTCTCGCTCAAGCGACGGGGATTTTCGCTCGAGCGAGAAGTGATTAAAATATGTGGTGACCCAAGTTGCGTTATGTGGCTAATTTTGTTGGACGTTTAGCCTATGGTCAATTCTCGCTCAAGCGATGAGTTACTTCGCTCGAGCGAGAATTGATTGGGTAACTGCGTTGGACCGTGGTCAATTCTCGCTCAAGTGAGACATCCATCGCTTGAGCGAAGAAATTTATAATCGATTATAATTTGAAATAATCGAACATAATTTTAAAATAATCGAATATACAAAATTATGATCGATTATTTCTCTCTCGCTCAAGCGAAGAAACCCACTACAACAGAAAACACATGTAATAGTAGTTCCACATGTTCTATAATAGCGGTTAAAAACGGTTAACGTGGAACCGCTATCATATATTTGTCACTTTTAAGAGCGGTTAAAGTGGAACTGCTATCATATATGTGTCACTTTTAATATCATATATGTCACTTTTAAGAGCGGTTAATATTTTAACCGCTCTTAAAAGTGAACATATAATAGCGGTTCCACGTTAACCACTATCTAAAATATATTTTTAATAGCGGTTAGTTCTAGAACCGCTATCTAAAATCTCGGGTCAATTCTCGCTCAAGCGATGGGTACTTTCGCTTGAGCGAGAAGTGATTGAAATATGTGGTGACCCAAGTTGCATTATGTGGCTAACTGCGTTGGACGTTTAGCCTGTGGTCAATTCTCGTTCAAGCGAGAAACCCATCGCTTGAGCGAGGAAACCTGCAACTATTTACAGGTTGAGTGAGACTACAAGGATTGGTGGCACAATTTGTTGAACATTCAAGGACTTGGTGTTGCACTTGATGGACATAAAGATTGTTGATTTTGATGATGATTCAAGAACACAAAGAATTAGAGTGTTGAAGACTTGTTCTGTATTGTAATAACTTTGTTTCAATTAGATTGAGTCTGTAATATTAGAGTTTAAGATAGCCGGTACATAGTCTGCACCTTAGAAGCTTCAAAAAGCTCATATTTATCATACAGGCTCGGCTTTAATCGATTAAATAGGGAAATAATCGATTAAAACAGTGAGAAAAATCATTTTCTGTAACAACTCACTAGTTTAATCGATTAAACCACCTTTTAATCGATTAAAACAGAGAGGTTTGGGTTCTGTTGATATTTGGCTCTGTTTTAATCGATTAATACTTCTTTTAATTGATTATTTCAGTCAGATTTTGATTTTTAACTTCAAATCAAACCTATTTTCAAAAACCCTTTTCCCAAGAACCCTAGTTTCGAAATCCCCAATTCCTAAACCCTAAATTCTCTACTTAAACTCTTCTATGGCACTCAGAAAATTAAGAACAACCTTTTTCATACAAAAGTTAAGTGTTGTGAGTGCCAGAGTGTTAGAAAAGTAGTTTTAAATCAAGAGGGGGGGTGAATTGATTTTTGAAAGTTTTTCGCAATACATGATTATCTAATTCGAAAATTAAGTTTCTAAAAATCTTTTTGAATTACCAAGCAATCAAACAATATAAGCGCAGCAAGCTGAAATTAAAGAGAGAAAGGTTAGGAAAGATTTCACCGGTAATTTTAT